TGTGTGTGTTTGTGTTCAGGTACACTCTCCTGCCCAACGGTATCCTGCACATCACAGGAGTGTGTCAGGCTGACAGCGGCAGCTACCGCTGCGTCGCTAACAACATCGCAAACACTCGCTACAGTCACGAGGCCCAGCTGTCAGTCACAGTGATTCCAGTGATATCGTTCCTCTGTGTCGTTATAGTTGTGGTGTGAACTATTCACAATTTTTTGAAACTTTATGGTTATAGTAATTGATTTTGTGTGAATGTGCTGTATGTGTGTTCAGGTACACTCTCCTGCCCAACGGTATCCTGCACATCACAGGAGTGCGTCAGGCTGACAGCGGCAGCTACCGCTGCGTCGCTAAAAACATCGCAAACACTCGCTACAGTCACGAGGCTCAGCTGTCAGTCACAGGTAGAGCCAAGGCCGTTCTTCATCTGATGATACGATCCGAACCGCTGAGCGTCTCTGAATGACCCATCTCTGTCTCTGTCGCAGTCACAGCTAATCGTCTCTACAAGGAGCCGGTGATTCTCTCTGGGCCGCAGAATCTCACTCTGAACGTTCACCAGACCGCCATCCTGGAGTGCATCGCCACCGGAAACCCACGGCCCATCGTGTCCTGGAGCAGGCTGGGTAAAAAAAATCAAATTATCAGCTCAAGATGACAAAATGAGCTAAAATCGACTAAAACAACAAAAATAACTCAAACTCGAGATATCTCATTTCAATCCACCCATTCAACAACTGCTTAATGTCTTTGAAGAACTATAATGATAACTATTTATAACGATAAAAATAACTATAATGATAATAATAATAATAGTGATAACGATAAGAACTATAGCAATAACAATAATGATAATTACTATAACAATAACGATAACTATATCAATATCAATAACGCTAATTACTAAAACGATAACTATATCAACAACGATAATTATTATAATGATAACAATAATAACTATATCAATATTACTATAACGATAATGATAGCAATAATAGCTAACAATTACTATACTATAATATATTACTATGTATATATTACTTTATTACTATTATATTACTATAATAACAACAATAATAACTATAAAGATAATAATTATAATGATAACTATAATGCAACTATAACAATAACTATAATGATTGCATCTATAATGAAAATAACAATAACTATAACAATAATAACAACTATAACAATAACTATAATGATTGTAACTATAATGAACGTAATAACTATAATGATAACAATAACTATAACGATAAATGTAATACAACTATAACAGAACTATAAAATAGTTATAACGATAACTACATAAGTGTCTACACCTGCGAACTATAGCGATGCAACAGTTTTTGAATTCTCATGGTCTTGGAAAGCCTGGATAACACGAGGAAGATTCACTTTAAAAGTGTGATTTCCAGACCTGGAAAGCTCATGGAAATTAATAAAATCTTTAAAAAAAAACATTTTGTCAAGCTCAAAAATATTTCATGTAGACATTCAGCTCTTAAAACTTCTGCAAGCCTAAAACTTATATTAATTGTAATATATTTTAGTTATTACTACTTTAGATTTCTGGACGCTGTGTGCTTGTGTTTGTCAGACGGTCGCTCCATCGGCGTGGAGGGCATCCAGGTGTTAGGCACAGGTAACCTCATCATCTCAGACGTGTCTCTGCAGCACTCAGGTGTGTACGTCTGCTCCGCTAACCGACCCGGAACCAGGATGAGGAGAACCGCGCTGGGACGTCTGGTGGTGCAGGGTACAATAAACACACACAACCATCACACAAATCAGATCTGGAGTTCAGTTCGGTTTAACTGAAGCACTGCACTGAGACTCATCAGAAAAGCTGCTTATTTCCAACTTTAATTACCGTGGATGTTAATGACTGATGCACTTGCTGTTACACAGGATACTGAACAATAGCTAACCAGAGACCCGGCTTCATTTCCACATACACACTCCATTCTCTGTAAGAGCAGTGAGACATGAACAAAGGGCTTTGACTGTGACCTCTGACCTCTGACCTCTGACCCCCCCCACCCCCAGGTCACCTCTAGCCTCATTAACATATGGGAGGGGCTTGTAGATGGTCTGGTGAGCTCGTCTGGTTTGAGCAGCAGCTGCGATACAGACACACACACGACAGCCAGATGGAGAGACACACACACAGGCAGACGGGTGTTTGTGTGTGTTTTATCAAAATCATTTTTTGACATTTCATATTTCACATAGATAAAAGACAAGAAATGCACACATACCCCACAGGAAGTGAATGAACTAAAGCCGCACACACAGACACTTGAGATCACATTAAACTAAAGTGTGTGTGTGTGTGTGTAACAAACACTTACAATAGAGCTGGAGTACTGCAGAGCATATCACAGTGTTTTGCAGCTCTGCAGAGTATTTTATGGTGTTTTTCTAGAGTATTTTACAGCACTGTTGACTATTGTAGTGTTTTACAGCACTGTGGAGTATTTTCTGTTGTTTTACCAGAGTATTTAACTGTATTGTTGAATATTTTAGTGTTTTACAGCACTGTGGATTATTTTCTGTTGTTTTAACTAGAGTATTTTACAGTATTTTACAGTGCTATTAAATATTTTACGTTGTTTTACAGCACTGTGGAGTATTTTATGGTGTTTGCTAGAGTATTTTACTGTATTGTTGAATATTTTTGTGTTTTACAGCACTGTTGAATATTTTAGTGTTTTACGGCGCTGTGGAGTATTTTCTGTTGTTTTAAAATATTAAATTTGACAGTGCTATTAAATATTTTACATTGTTTTACAGCACTGTGGAGTATTTTATGGTGTTTGCTAGAGTATTTTACTGTATTGTTGAATATTTTAGTGTTTTACGGCGCTGTGGAGTATTTTCTGTTGTTTTAAAATATTAAATTTGACAGTGCTATTAAATATTTTACATTGTTTTACAGCACTGTGGAGTATTTTATGGTGTTTGCTAGAGTATTTTACTGTATTGTTGAATATTTTAGTGTTTTACGGCGCTGTGGAGTATTTTCTGTTGTTTTAAAATATTAAATTTGACAGTGCTATTAAATATTTTACATTGTTTTACAGCACTGTGGAGTATTTTCTGTTGTTTTACCAGAGTATTTAACTGTATTGTTGAATATTTTAGTGTTTTACAGCACTGTGGATTATTTTCTGTTGTTTTAACTAGAGTATTTTACAGTATTTTACAGTGCTATTAAATATTTTACGTTGTTTTACAGCACTGTGGAGTATTTTATGGTGTTTGCTAGAGTATTTTACTGTATTGTTGAATATTTTAGTGTTTTACGGCACTGTGGAGTATTTTCTGTTGTTTTAAAATATTAAATTTGACAGTCCTATTAAATATTTTACATTGTTTTACAGCACTGTGGAGTATTTTCTGTCCCCCCCAAACCCCCAGGTCACCTCTAGCCTCATTAGCATATGGGAGGGGCTTGTAGATGCTCGTCTGGTTTGAGCAGCAGCTGTGATATACACACACACACACACACACACACACACACGACAGCCAGATGGAGAGACACACAGACAGGCAGATAGATTTATTAAAATCATCTTCTGACATGTCATATTTAATAAAGATTAAGGACAAGTGCACACATACCCCACAGGAACTGAATTAAGTAAAGCCACACACACATTTGAGATCACATGAAACTAAAGCACATGTGTAACACTTACAATAGAGCTGGAGAACTGGAAAGTATTTCAGTGTTTTACAGCACAGTGAAGTATTATATTATGTTTTACTACAGTATTTTACAGTATTGTAGTGTGTTGTAGGGATTGTGTTGTGTTTGAGTGGGACAGACGGATGGATAATAGAAGAAAGCGAGGCGGAGGGGGAGGAATAATTGTGTCTGGGTGACGGATCACCTCTGACCTCTGACCCCTGACCTCAATCCAGCAGACCTGCAGGAGGAGATGTGTGTGTGTGTGTGTGTGTGTATGTGTGTGTGTGTGTGTGTGTGTGTGGGGGTTTGTGGTCTGGATTGATGGACCAAAGAGAGCCGGAGGGGGTGATTTTAGGACAAAAACACAGAAGAAGCAGCATAAATTCACTATTTATTGAGATGAAACCTCTGATGTTTGTCCTGCTCATCACACGACTGCTTACCAAATACATCAATAAATGAGACACAGACATTAGACACAGAATGATGCATATTAGTCATTCTAAGATATAAATGTCTTTGTTTAACAATTGCAGCTTCTTATTTGTGTGTGTGTGTGTGTGTGAGTGTGAGTGTGTGTGTGTGTGTGTGTGTGAGTGTGTGTGTGTGT